CACCAGTGACCATGGAGTATCCAAAGGAAATAAAAGATAAAAAACCTATAACAAGCTTGTTGTTCCATTGAAGGGTTCTGGAGATATCATCAAGCCTTGCTGGCAACAAAAAGAACTAACAAAGTGAAAGATAAGACTGATGTACCTGCATAACAAGGCTGCTATTCCACTGAGAAATTTCAGTGATACTATAAACCAGGAAAGCTGAGTTAGGGCAGTTTGCAGTTACAACAGGATCCCACATTATGTCATTGCAATTCTTTCACCTGACTGCACTTTTAATACATAGTATCCAGAACAATTAAACAATTTTTTGGTTTTGTTTTGGCTTGTTTTTTGTTTGTTGGTTTGTTTTTTTTGTTGTTTCAAAAGTGCAATAGAGGGTTTATTTTGTAAGATGCCTATCAAGTTTCTAAATTAGAAACTGAAAGTGGAGTGAACTTGAAGTGTGAAGAACAATTAAGCAGCCCAGCTGAACTACCAGTTTTAGTAAAAAAAACCTGACTTCTACTTACTCTCCCATTGGTGTGGGCCTCAAAGGTTTAAGATGAAACAAGGCTATAGTAAGGCAGTTCCAAAGGAGAGGGAGAAAAAGTTGGAGTTACCCCTCTGCCTGTGAGGACTAACAAAGGCTGCCTCAAACTATTGAATGAAACTGGAACCCAAGCAGTATCTGAAATGGATTCTAACAGCAGGGAGGGGCGGGAAACCCCAACAGAGAAAGTGTAGAATAGCAAACTTCCTTCAGAAATGACAAGCAGATGAGAAAGAACAAGCAAATCTTCTTCCCAGCGAATAGGCAGATTATTGCTGCTGGTGGCCAAGCCTGGAAGTGCTGAGCAGCAATGACTGAAAGCAGTGATCAAACTGCTCAGTTTTTACATTTCTACAGGCTTTTGTGTTATATCCACTCAGGCATCAATCACAACGTTATTAAACCACGATAGAGATGTCAGATCAATGGCTGTATTGGAAACATTTTGAATGACAGGCTGATGATGGAACAATTCCAGCCTCCATACATTATTAAACACATACCAATGCTACTTTTTCAGTGCTACCCTTACAGACTCGCACACTCTATTCTCCCTCTACAGTACCTTTTTTAATAGCAGACCTAATTGTAGATGAATATTACATAGGAAAAACAAGACATAAATAATAATAAACTAGTAAAAAAAATATCAAGCTTTAAACCCCTTGTAAAATTTAAATCTTCACATTATGCCTTCTGGCATTAAAATTTCATTTTAATACAATTGTAGGAGCTGAGAATGGGTTGTCAGCCTTAATCAGAATATTCAGAGCTATTGCTTTCTTGCTGTAATCTTGACATAATTTAAGCTTGGGTTTTCTTTATGCATTTGCCCACAGCTAGCACACCCATGTAAATGCTTTTTGCTCTTTTTGAGTGAAAAGGTATCTATGAAAAATACATATAAATATGGCAGAAATCACCCCTCTGGCAGATTGTCTGCTTAACTCCAGATTTCAAGCAGAATGGGGAAGGGATCAGAGAAGCACACGTGCCTCTCAATACATCAGCAATGAAAACTGTATTTTCACCGGCAGAAATCAATTTGATTTTCATAAAGGCAGAAAAAAGAATTATGTTCTTGGTGGATGAAGCACAAATCACAGTAACTGGGACGTGAAAATACTCTACCACTTTCTGTCACGACACAGGAACATAGGGTTGAGGTGCCACAAACGGCACACCTTTACCTCCTCTCTCCCTCTAGTGCTCTATACCATCCTTTGGCATTGGAATAAAGCAAAGATGGGTTTACAGCTTTTCCTTTGGCCTGGCATCTTGATAGCCTGATTAAACATCCTCCTAATTAGGGAGTACTTGGTATAGCAGAGACGTCTAATTTTATGTGGACAATTCAATAATAGATAAGAAATAAGAATGTTAAAAATATAATAAAGTGAAATTAAATGCACATTCTTTGCAAGTTTGGATGGAAAGAAAATTTCTTGTCACTATTCTTGTCAAATGGTTTCCTAAACAAACTTTTTTTTGGGAGGAAGACTTTACCTAGCACAAGGGAAATGCAGCTGACTGAGGGAGTCTATAGGAAAACTACTTTGTTTTAACTGCTGAATTGGATGCTCCCAGATGGAAGTGAACAGCCCTACCAGCATTAAGCCCGACCTGGGCTGGTGATCAAACAATCAAGTGGATGGAGGCAGCTGCCCCCTGGATTCCCAAGGGTTTTAATGTGTGCTTCAGGGCTGAGAGATCAAAACTCAAATCCAGTTTTTGGAGTCAAGGCAGGAAAATGGCAGAGGCTGCTGTTACTCAGGTCACTCGCCTCACCAAAGAGCTGAAGAGTAGCTCCTCTGTGAAAGGGAGATGGAATGGCTCCAGCTTGGACAGAGTATTTTAATCTTTTAAGGAGCACCAAAAGGCCAAGTAATTCCCACAAGATATGAAGCTGCATAGGCTCTTATGCTATTTCTCTAGCTCACTCGCTAGAGAATAGATTTTCTGTTGAAGCAATGTTTTAGAAACCCAGTGTTCATCCTGAATCAGGCAAGTGTGGAGGTGGTTTTGAAGTCAGCTCTCACTTAAGTGACCACAGGGGTCTGTTTCAGCCGAAAAATGTTATGTTAATTAGCAAAATGCTTTGTCCAAGGAAGTGAACATATGAAAACTTTCCAATAAAAACTGCTTTGCATACTGCAAGCTTTTCAAATTAAATTGGACAGAGTTACTGCCAACAGTATGTAGAACTATTTGTGACTTTTTGTCTTGTTTGCCTAAAAAAATCTGTCTGGTTTCTTGAAAGGTAGCTGGTGGCTCTTTATTGCACTCTGTTGCATAGTTTTAAGGATAAAATTGAAAAATATATTTATAACAGAAATGTATCATTTATATCTTTTATCTCCCATAAAACCTAGTCCTGCTGAGGTACTCACAGTAGTATGGCTTGAATTTGGCACAATTCTTCATACTTTATGCTCTCAAGGCTCCTCTCTCTGGACCAAAACTCAGAATTTCAAATAATTGAAGAAAAATATCTCTAAATAAATCACATCTCTAAGCAGCTTGTGTTTCCCATGTTGTGTTTTTTTTCCTGTAGCAGAATACAAGCTGAAGTATGAACTGGATGGATACATCCAACAAAACTGCTACTTGCAGCCCAAATTGTGATTTCTGATAGGAGGAATTCCCAACAGGAGGAATTCTCAATGACATTCATGATTATATTGCTTGCATGAGTGCTTAAACTGAATATGGTGCTGATGCTGTTTTAATCTAAGAGAAATCCTGTACGTGATAAAATAGGGTGTCATTTGAGATGTTTCAAAAGCCTATGGGTATTGTAGCACTCATCAATCATTTACTCTTGTTCTTTAAGTTTTCTGCAAATGACTTGGGAGTTTTACAGATAGTAAACATAAACCTGTATGGTATACCTCTGAATGTATTTCAATAAATTCTTATTTCTTGGGAAATGCTGTGACCTTGAAAGATAAAACTGTGTAAAGAGCTAGGAAAAGAAAGGAAAGATTCTCATTTGGTTGCAGTAACATGAGTTCAGGATCTCATTGTCACCCACTAGATGATCCATGGCCTCTCAGAGTCCTCTGCCTGACTGACTATAAGGATTCTTTACTGTAAGCTCTGTAAAAGTGGTCTCAAGCAAGAAGAGAATATTAACTGGGAATTTTCTAGTTTGCATTAAGACTGTGAGACAATGAGCACAGAAGACAATGTCTGTTAAGAGTTATGAAATTGAAAATGACAGGCAAAGGAAAAAATTCTTAGGAGCTGCCCAACAGAACAAGCAGAATTCATTTTCTATTTCCTTGCCTTAACTTTTAAACATGTTTTGGAATCTCAGTAATTATAGATGCAGAAATTCTCCTGTATATAAACCAATTTCCTTCAAATTAATGAAGGGGAAATTGCTGAGACTAACTTTGCGATGTAATTCCTACTTCTTTTGATTATTGAATGCAACATTTAAAGTATCAGGAATAAACAAGAAATCATTATATTTAAGTTTTCTCAGAAAAAAATACAGAAACCTTAGATCTTAACAGAGTTTTTCAAAGAAATCAGAAGAGACATTGGAGTTAGAATTAAATTCAATAGATAAGGAAGGAGGTGAAGAGATCAGGAAGAGACTCAACACAGTGTGTTAAATAACTTTGTACAGATGCAACTGTATTAAGCACCTTATTCAATTTTAAAAAAATGGAAAACGGTGTTCCTATAGATTAGTATCAAGTAGAACAGTTGTGAAAAAAAGGGTAAGTGAATAACAGAGCATGTTATGTAATTACATGTTGAATGTAATTATTACATAAAGAACATGTGTAATATGAATACCTCTATTTTTGCAAAAATTTACATTACATGCAGTGTGCACATTCACACACTAACATATCAAACCACCATATATAGTCTGCCGGTACTGTATTTTAGGAACTTTTCAGAGCACTTAAATGCTTTTAATGAAGAGGGGTTTTTGCCTTTCTCTGACTCTGGGGGAGTTAACTGAGTATGACCTACTCAGCTTAAAAAGAAAATTCAAAAGTAGTTGTGGAAATATGCATGTTCAAATATGATGTACCGGAAACACAGCTGCCCCAGACCAAAAGTCACATTTCTAAGCCTGGAACAAAATACATATGGCTGGCTGCTATGGTTTGAAGTGAGTAGTGGATCCTACCACAAAGCTCCTGATCCCAGTGATATGAAATTTTCTACACTGACAAGCAAACAATTTAAAAAACAAATTGATAGAGAAGTATTTCCATAATTACATGGGAACTAGTACAGACAATTCCTTTTAAACAGATCAGGTTTTGTTGACCTACCATTTTACTATTCATACTACTTTGTCATTTCTGTTCTATAATAACTAATGCTTACTGTATGATGGTGAAGCCCTGAAAAGCACTTAAAAGAATAGTAAATTACCTTAGGAAACTCAGTAAGCAATAGATGCTTTTGCAATAGAGAAAAAAAATAGTGATCTTACCGTTCCTGTTGTGCCCAAGGAAAGGTGGTTCATCTGTTGGGTCAGAGGGCCCATCATGCTTGCTGGCTGCATTGACATAGTGTGGTCCATTGTTGGTGTTATCACAGCACCCTAGAAACACACATTATTTACAGTTCAACCTTTCTCATATTAAAAAAAAAAGAACAACAAAAAAACCAAACAAGGCATTCTTTAAATGAGTAAACATGACTGAAAACTTGACATGAATCTTAAAAGACACTAATATATCTGTCAGAAGAAATATGTTTTGTTCCTATTGACAACCAAGCTACACACATATATTATTTGTACTGCTAATGAGGCCATTTTATGTCAGCTCCAATTAAGTGTCATTTTTTACTTCATTGCTTCTGACAAACAAATGCATATGTTCTTTCTCTGATGAATGCTACTGTACATTGCTAAGTGCCTGTCATTTCCATTTCTCCATATCCTATATAGAACAATCTTACAGACAGAACACATATGTCCCCAATTTTCTCTGACTTCTAAAGCCTTCAGTCTCAGAGATCTTCAGCCTATTATGGTAATTATCTTGGATTTTTCCAGTCTCAATTAAGAACCCTTACTCATGAAATTTTATAGCTGATTAAGTAAGACTAGCTATTGACAGTGAGTGTGGTAGTGTCATCCATTTAAAACACATACACTGGGTTTAAAAGCATTTTTCTTCTCTGCATGAAAAACAAAGACATTAATAACAAAGAGCATATGTACTAAAGCAAGACTGAGACTTTGACCAAAAAATGAAACAAACAACATGCCAGGGGAGCTTTGGAGAGAGAACTTCTTTGCCATTCATATTCCTTGGTTTTTGCTCTCCCACTCCCCAAGGTCCCATGTTGACAACATCATAACTTAGTGAAGAGTTGATTCTCTTCAGTTCTATGTTGTAAAATGCTATTTCCTGTGTTGGTTAGAGAAAGTCAGTCAGAAAGTGTGGTCTGCTCTTTTTCTTGCAGATAGTGACAAAAAGCATTCCCAGTCATTTCTTCATATGAGATAATAACTTTAATATTATGAGATAATAACTGTGTATGCATCTTTGCGTGCACACATCACAAACATGCACAATCACATTACATCTGGTACAAAGTGTGAGAAATGTTGATGAATGTATCTGTTAAAAAAATATTTTTTTTTTTTCCCCTTTGAGAATACTGGAAAAAATCACCTGTAAACAAACTTGTTTAACCAATCTGTAAAACAAACTTGTTTCAAAACTCATAATATACCTGTTCTTACATGTCTATCTCACATTCACATAGAGCTATTTTTGCCAATGATCTGATTAGAAGCTAAGGATTCAGAGTTTTCAGTTGCAAATAAAAATAAATAAAAATACAAAATTCTCTGGAAATAACAACTCAATTTTGCCTCACCTTCCAGCAATATTTTTTCTATGCACATCCTATATGGAGGAATACAGAGTCCCTGCAAACTCATTCCTTGCATGCAGTGGAGTAAGAAGGTAGGCTCATTTTAGTCAGTCCTTTCTGTAATACCCTCAAGCATATGAAATAAATACACACTTGTTTTATGTCACAGAGTGGATTACATTTCTTTTCTTGACAAGAGTCTCTAGAGAAATCTGAAAAATTATGGACGATTGCCTCCATGGAGTACCTGTCACGATTTCAAATAAATGCTTATGAAACAAGCCTGGCAGTGGGCATGTATCAAACCTGAAACACTTGCCACTTTTGCCACTTTATTGGCTATATTAATTTGCACTGGTTTGCATGGATTAATTTATTGATTAACTCATTTAATAAACTACCACAGTGAAGTGTTCCCTTTGGTTGAAAGAGACTAAAAGCAAATCTGCGGGGCACACACCCATTCACCCCATCCAGCAGTTCCGGCATAGCAGATTCAGTGCAAAAGTCTGAAGAGGAACCATGTACAATGAAAATAATGTTCTTGTTTTGTTTTTGAAATCAATGGCCTCAGATATCATGCAGCCAGATGAGGTCTTAGAGTTTGGACTTAAACTGCACTTTTTGGTAACGATAGGAAATTGTAAGCTCTATGCTCAGAGTGATCATTATTTTTACTTAATCAAACCATATGTGCTCAAATTAAATTTCTCAACTGATAAACAGTTCTTAGTTCCCTCTACAAACAGTGTTCTCCTTTGCTAAAAGGTGGAGAATTGCTTCAGGGCTTTCCAGACAAATTGGACTCCCACTTGTGATGCCAAGGAAGATGATTCTCCCTCTCTTCTACACATTCATGAGATCCCACTTTGAGAGACGTGTCCAGCTCTGGGGATCCCAGTATAACAAGAATGTGGACCTGTTTGAGAGGGTCCAGAAGGGGGCCATGAAGATCACCAGAGGGCATCAATGCATCTGAAGGGAAGGTGTTAAAAGCATGGAACCAGGCTCTTCTCAGTGTTGCCAAGCAGTCAGGCAAGAGACAACAGGTAGAGACTGATGCATAGGAAGTTCCTGAGGAAGAACTTTACTGTGCAGGTGATCCTGTACTGGAACAGGTTGCCTAGAGAGGTTGTGGAGTCTCCCTCACTAGAGATACTCAAGAACCCTCTGGATGCAATGCTGTGCAAAGATGCTTATTGCAAAAGTATGGTTGGAGGAACTTTCTGTAATTACATATGTGTCAGACTGATAAATATTCCTGGGTAGAAATTCAGGACCCTGGAAATGAAGAAAGAAGTCTTACAGTTTAGTGTAACAAATGCAACACCCAGACATAGAATGGAAAAATCTGAGAGCAAATGTCTTTCAGCAAATAAATAAATATGACAAGTATTGCAAAGAAACTATTAAAAAAAATATGGACTGGAGAGAAAATAAATCAAGGACAAAAAAATTGCTCTGAAAAGGAAAACATATCATTTTCAAATTGAAAATATATATATTCCTGTCCCTAAATATACACCATTTAATGCGCTAGAAAAAGAAGCTGGGAAAACAAATCAAGAATTGCAGCTTTCCTAAGACAGCTTAACATGTTTTAAGCTGACAGTTACCGTGAGCAGAGAATTACATGCATTTCCCAGATCATTAATCCACCAGTTCAGAATCTTCTTGTGATCACGTCGGAAAGAAATTATACTTAATTAAGGAAATATCATCTGGTTGTTAGGGCGACACCCAGTCTCCAGATCATAATGAATTTCATAATACATTCTGTCAAGTCCATTCATATTCGATTTATTTAGCTGTAGAAGACAAAAATGTCTTGCATCAGATGTTGCCATCATACTGAAAGTAATTTGATTCTTTTCAGCCTATAATATGTAATTGCTGATAAACATCCAGTTGGCTACTGGCAAAGGTTATATCAAACATATTGTTTTGTCTTCATCTGTTTGGATGTCTGATTTTACTGAGTTTGTATATGTATAGAAAGGCATCTTAGCATTGTAAACTATTACTTAAGTCCCAGTTCAATTGCAAAAAACCTGTAGAAGAAATTATCATGAGTTTTTCGTCACTGTCTTTGCCAAGAATATAATTAGCCTGTCAATTATTTAGATCTGTTCTGTTGCCCTATTGCCTCATATGATTACATTCCTTTTTGTAATTCTGTAGTGGTTTAGCTTTGCCAATTTGAGCTTCCCAGCCAACACACCAAATAATGTGGTGGGTTTAGCACTGGCTAAAATCACCAGTGCACTTATTTCTTGCTGTGAGATATGGATTAGGAGAAGGGCAAAACAGGCTTAAAACTTAAAAGGAATAAAGAAACTTTATTAACAGGACTACAAGAAAAAGAAGCATCAGAATAAAACCTCCAGAACACCTTTCATTTCCCTGCCCAAATTTTTCCTCTCACAGCTGACCATGTAGAGACAAAAACTGGGATGTTAAAGCAGTACCAGCTATACAATGGTCTTTCATCAGTTCTTGTAGGGACAGTTTTCTCTTGCCATGCCATGGAGACTTCTCCACAAGAAACAGTGGTCTTTCATTTCCACAAGTAGAAGCTGCCTGGGCAAGAAAGTTCTGCATCTTGAAATTCCTCCCATTTTCACAGCCCTCCTAGAGGTATGTCCATGGGCCATGAACTCATGGGGGTATTATTTTAAGGATGAGTTGTTCAAAGGCAAAGATTCTTTCCATCTGTCTCTGTGATCATCTCTGGGAACAGAGGTTTTCTTCTTTCCCTGGGGGCAAAGAGTCTTCATCAACTTTCATCTCTCTCTCTGTTCAAGCTTCTCATGGGATCACAGCTACTCCAGCATTTGCTTGGCTTCATCAGTGGATGCTTCTGCTCAGATCCACAGTTTGAATGCTTCATTCCCCCCATACTCTCTTATGAATTAAAAGAGGTATTTCAGTATATCATTGTCCATCTCCATGGCCCTACAAAAAGAATATTTCATTTCTTTTTCAATATAATATTTTTCAGTATTTCATCCATTCAGCATCTCCTCATTCTCCTTCCATGTGAGGCTTGGCTCCTTCTTTAGTGACCTTGGTGTTTTCACCTTGTCTTTCTACGTGTTGTCATGCTGTCCTTTTCTCTCCCTGGAGGGAGGAACAAGGTCTGCAGGTCTCATCTGCGTAGTGAAAGTGTTAATATTTCACCCAGTGCCACAGCAGTCACTGTGTTGGATTTCAGGCTGCGCTGGGCCCCTCCCTGTGTCCGGCAGCTGCTGGGAGCAGGGGCTCAGCTTGGGGCCATTGGTTTGGGCCAGGGCAGGTTTAGTGACAGCGAGATGTCAGCAGCCATGGCCCGGCCCAGCCTGAGCCAGGGCTCCCCCAGCCTTCATCCCCTGCCCGGGAGCCGCTGGGGTCTGGCCCGGCCTCCCCCAGGCCGTACAGGCCGCGGGGAAGTGGGGCTGGCCCCACCAGAGCTGCGTTACCTTTCGAGGCTGGAACAAAAAAGGAGAGAGTTCCTAGGCTTGTGTTTTTAAAATGCAGATCTCACAGAGGTGGATCTAATTTCTAAATGGTGCAAAATGCTGTCATTTCTCAGAACTAGCCAGCTAGTTCTTGGTCTTTCCCAGGCACAGAGGAAGCTCCCAGCAGCTTCTCTCAAAGAAATCACTTCTGTGGGTGTTTTCTTACTTCTTTTCCAAATATCAGTCAATGTGAAACCACCACAAATTCCGACAA